AACGAAATAAAGGGGAAGTGTTAGGATTGACGTACCCGGAAATTTGTTGTTGCCCGATATCGATTCCCATTTCGGTTGGATGTTTGCTCATAAGATGTCGTTTAAATGTTCCATATCCTTGTCCACCTGTATATTTATATATTTTTCCACAATATTTACAAATTATATCATACCTTTTTTGACCGATATCAAACCTTTCCATTTTCGTGAAGTGATTCCAAATGTCGGATGTAAATTCCCGTTCCGCTTCCTTTGTTGTAGATATTTCAGCAGGAGGATGAAAACTTTCTTGCGTCGGGACGCGCTCCACATCGTGAAAAATGTTGATTTCATCATCTTGAAAATCTGCATATTCACGAGGATCAAAAGAATGATGGGATTCTGTCACGATATTCTTACCTTTGCCAGTTGGCACTCGACTTCCACTTGCCATTTTTCGAATGGATTGAGAGAATTGAGCGGATTAATTGGGAGAATTAAGAAAGAATTGCGTGGATTGAGAAAATTGAGAGAATTTCATAGAATTTGAGAGAATTTCGAGTATTGAGAAAATTTGAGACTTGAGAGAAGAGAATTGAAGAGAATTTGAGAGAATTGTGTGTGTATTGTGAGAATTTGAGAGAATTTATAGGAAAAAAATAGAAGAAAATTTAGAATTAAAAAAAATAAAACATAACCGTTGCAAAATTGTAACGGTTATGTGTTTTTTTTTTTTAAATTATAAAAACGCCTGTTGGGGCGTAGCCGTTGCCCCAACGGGCCGCAAGCTGCGGAGCGGCGCAGGCTCGCACGTCTGCGGGCCCCGCTGCGGATAAATATTTTTTTTTTTGGTTGGGCCGTTGGCCGTTCTCTGCAGCCAGCAGATCGCAAAGATGGCACACGCACGCAGTCGTGCTATAGCTGCGGCTTTTTTTTTTTTTTTTAAATTTTTTTCGCGAGAACCGGCCGAACCGGCGGTTCCGGCTGGTTCAAATTTTTCTGAAACCGGAACCGGGACCGTATGCCACGGGCCGGTTCCGGTTCCGAACCGCGGGCCCGGTCAACGGGCCGGGCCAGGGTTTGACCGGGCCGGTTCCGGGCCAAAACCGGCCCGTGGCCACCTCTACTCACCCGTTCCCTCCATGGGAACTATTAGAATATTATGGGCCAGGTTTGGGTCGGCCCATCATGGTCGGATTCGGCATGGTCCAAATTCTAACATCTCTCACTTGCACATGATAGGCTTGACCAAATCTCCATATTCAGGGCCCCATAAAAGTACAAAAATTGTTACGGATTAATCTATACTAACAGTTCTGATCATGCAATTAGCGAGCACAAGCGCGTCAAATTTTTTATGCTCTGGTTAAGGATACAAAAGAAGTAATAATTGAACAATCTCTTTGTACCTTGAAGTCAATTTATCACAGGAAAAAGAGTCTTAGGCTCCGTTCATTTGGCGGAAAATATTCTCCTTTTGGAAAATATTTTTCCGGAACATAATTTTTCGGTGTTCGGCGATCAATATGAAAAAGTTTCGGAAAATATTTTTCGTCAGCGACCGGCGGCGGGCAGCGACGTCCGGCGGCCGGCGACCGATGGCCAACGTTCGGCGGCGGCAATGGCGATCAGGCGGCGGCGGCGGCGATGGCCGGCCGCGACCGGCACGGTGGCGGCGGCGGCGACCTTAGTGAAGAAGAAGAAGAAGAAGAAGCTCCGGAAAATGATTTCCGCTTTTGAAGAAGCGGAAGTCATTTTTCGTAGACTTAGGCTATTTTGTGAGGGGGGAAGGAAAAAATTTTCCCACAGAAAACGTTTTCCGCCCCTCGAACACCAGAAAACCCGGAAAATATTTTCCGGGAGAATATTTTCCGCCAAACGAACGGAGCCTTAATTCCCTCGCAAAAGCACGCTCGACTCCCATCTTGTATTCATACTCGGGTCATAACCATTTATGGTGGACACGACAGTTCGGTCAGAGAACATACGCGTCGATGTAAATACAAATTGGCCTCTCTTTCGTGCTTGAATCTATCGAACTTAGACCAGTCCACGTTCCTAACATGCACCAAAGGCCGAATCATTCTTGATAGGAGGAAACATGCTAAAGTAGAGGTCACTAGATCAAGACTTCGAAACCCAGTTGGAAGTTCTTATTGTACCGTATGAGGGATTATTGTCTTCAAGGGTCTTACGAAGCAATGCACAAGAATTAATGTTTAGATGTAACATATATCATTGCTCCCACACCTTCTTAGGTCGAATTAGCACATACGGTATTGAGATATTTGATCTGCCAATTATTTTAAAAACTTAAGTCGTTAGATAAAAAACGTAGTTTAATATTTAATTTTTTTTTCTTTATTTTAAGCTTTATGCGCACACTTGTGTGTGCCTACAATATATCTATTAGCATTTTCTATTTCTGACCTAATAATTTAATCAAACTTTGACTTTCATTTTCCATTTTTGACGAAATAAGTCCTGACACTCAACGATTTCAAAGTTATGGCACATGTGGTTGTCTCTAGCTCAAAAAAAAAAAAAAGAGGAGTTGTCAATCTCTGTTTGTATAATAAATATGATTAATATTACGAAAAATCTCAAATCAATATATCTATAACAATTTTATCCAAAATTAATTTTTTGACTACCAAGAACACTAAATCGGTCCATTAGTTTCCGATAAATTGGATTAATATCAAGAAAAATCATAAAATGACACACTTGTGACAAACATAGGATAAAACCCTAAATTGATATACCCGTCAACTGTCACGTGTTATCTAACTCGGTAATTTAACGGTAAAATTTAACGGAAACTAACGGAGGGTATAATTGTCACGGTTATACCGGTTTGGAGTTTTTGGTGGTCAAAAAATTAATTTGAAAATAAATCTAGTTTGGACTTTTTCGTAATATTAACGGTAACAAATACGAAAAAAGTGGAAAAATAGATAACTCTAGGGGACTCCACGCTTTTCTACCGTGTGAGGGCGCTCTCTCCATGTCGGTGCGTTTGACCTTGAGGCCTCGTCAGACAGAAGTGTCCTCGATCTGATCCGGTTGGCTCCCGTGTGATGGCAATCTTCTTTCCACAATCGACGGCCAGAAAGTCACAGGACATAATCTTTGACCGTATCCTTCAATTTCAGTTGACACACCAACGATTCCTATATATTTAGTTTTTTGCGCAGTTAATTAAGTCAACTGATCCAGAGCTTTTGGGACATGATGCCATACACCCATTTTTTGGATCAATGGTTGTTGCTGCACATAGAAGTGATTTTTTTGTATAAGTTCGAAATAATTTATTTACTAAAAGAATACTAGGATGAGTCGCTGGTACCATATTAGGATCGCACCGTTTTGGTAAGCTAAATTTGAAGTTTTATGTGAAAATGTGTGACGGGTCTGGAATGGATTTTCGAAATAATGAAGTTATCAAGATAGATTTGAGACGAGATCAACTGACCCAAATCCATGATATATCTATCCCTGTTTATCAATGCACTTATCCGTGGGAGCTCAATACGTGACAAGCTTTAGGTGTTGTCAAAGAATCTTGTCGAGAAAAAAAATTTGGATAGAGATTATTAAGAAAATTAGAAGGTACTGGTAAATTGAATGGTTATTAATTTACAAATGACTAAAGATAGACTTACATCAATATTGAATATATTGGTACATGATTCATTTATATAGATTTTTATATATCTGTTGGCACCCTTAAGAAGTCAACTTTGATGTCAAATAATTAAAGTTAGGAAGATCTAATTGCATTCACCATATATCAACTATGACGTTAAATATGATATTAACTCGGGCCACATTTATGAGGAAGTGTCAAGACCATCAAGACATAGAGAAATTTCAAAAGCCGGACCATAGTGATAAAACAAAGTCATCGACTAAACAAAATCGAGTCTGATTATGATTATTGATTGATTAGTAGAACATGATTGGTGTCAACAAGGAAGGAGTAAGCAATATATTGACCAACGCGCGTGATTATATAGACCGTAAATAACAGCCGACGGTCAAACACCAACATCGACCGTAAGAAGCCAATAGAAGTAGGTTGAGAAGGGAGGAACAATTTTCCCATCCATCGGCTGAGTCAAGTCGATATTATTCTAGTCAATGACGCTACGAGAAGCATGGGCATCGACTCGCGAAATGTGATTGAAATCAAACGACTGCAAGGCTAAAAATAGCGGGAATAACTATTGTAGTCAAACTCTTATGCGGTTTGACCAAAAGAAAAAAAACTCTTATGCGGTAATAGTTATAGAAGGTGTTGATTGACAGTTGCACTTAAGTAGTTATTGCAATCGAGTCAATCAGTTGTCCGGTCGAGCGCCTAAGGCAGGAACAATTATACAATCAAACATGGAGTCGAAATTTGATTTTAATGAGTGAGAACGATTATTAAGAGAGGCTAGCCATCTATGAACTATTAAAGGAGCACATCTGAAGAGGAAAGGACACGCACAAACATCAAAAGAACAAGATTTACTTTCGCCAATGCAATTTACTTGAAATCTATTCCCGGCTATTTATTTAATTTTGTCAATCAAACACTTACTCTCATTCATTCGAAAAGCTTTGTGTTTTTATTAAGGGATTAATTTCATCAGTTTTAGAACCTAATCATCAAGTTTTTGTTCCTTTTGTGGTACACAATCGTCCATCAAATCGGAATTCAAAGAATGCGATGTTTGACCAGGATTTCGATCAATTGAAATAGGATAATTATTATTGCAGAGTCGACAATTTGAAGATGGTGATTTTGGAGCGAAGAATTAGACAGCTTTTGCAATGTCCGATGACAAAAATCCTACATGTGAAATACTAACTTACTGCAGTTGTTAGTGATGAATGTATAAGGAATAAATATAGGCAATATAGAGTTTTGTACACAAGCTTCTGGAAGTAATTTTGATATACGTAGCATTACTCAACAATACTTAGAAATGGTCAAAGTGTGAAAAGCTAGACCCCGACGTACTCTATAAAACCTCTTCCCTGTTACATCTCTCTCCCCATCCTCTCTCTCGATGGAAGACGCGTGGGTGTACATTCTCTCTGCAGCATCCTCCCTCTTCTTCCTTCTCTTCCTGTTCAAATTGCAGAGAAGCAGCAAGCGGAATCTCCCGCCGGGCCCGCCTTCGCTCCCCATCATCGGCCACCTCCTCCTCGTAAAAGAGCCCGTCCACCGGACCCTCCAGTCCCTCTCCGACCGCTATGGCCCGGTCCTTTCCCTCTCCTTCGGCTCTCGCCCCGTGGTCGTCGTGTCCTCCCCGTCCGCGGCCGAGGAGTGCTTCACCAGGAACGACATCGTCCTCGCCAACCGCCCCTGCATGCTCGCGGGCAAGATCATGGCCTACGGCAACACCACCATCGGCACCGCCCCCTACGGCCCCCACTGGCGCAACCTCCGCCGCCTCACTGCCCTCGAGCTCCTCTCGCCGCATCGCCTCGCTGGCTCCCTCGCCGTCCGGCGGGAGGAAGTCGGGCTACTCGTGAGGAGCCTCCACGAGGCGGCCGCCTCCGCCCGGGGCGGCGGTTTCGCGAGGGTGGAGATGAGGTCGAGGCTGCAGGAGCTGTCCTTCAACATCATCATGAGGATGGTCTCCGGGAAGCGCTACTTCGGATCCGCCATCGACGCGGGCGACGCCGAGGTGGCCGGGCGGTTCAGGGAGGTGATAAAGGAGATGTTCGAGCTGAGCGGGACGGACCCGGGCGATTTCTTGCCGGCGCTGAGGAAGGTGGTGGACTTCAAGGGGAGAGAGCGGAGGATGGTGGAGGCGGCCAAGAGGTCCGATGCGATCTTGCAGGGCCTGATAGACGAGGTCAGGTCGAGAAGGAGGAGGAGCGACGGCGGCAGAGAGGTGGAGAGCAAGACGATGATCGATACCATGCTTTCGGAGGGCTACTCGGACGACATCATCAAAGGCCATATCATGGTACATGTTCTATTCACTTGAGTTGACTTATGCATACACAGTGCTATCTTTCTTAATTTGGGAAAGCAAAGTCATTTGTTGCAACATCGCCATGCGAGCTCCATCGTGTTAAGAACATGTCGGCCTTCTTTTTTGGAAAGAGCTAAGAAGCGAGCGAAACGCGATAGATTAATTAGTGGTTTGGGTTGAATCTGACTCACACCCTTCATTAAATAAATGAAATTGCTTAATAAATAAAATTTAATATAATTAAAAGATAGCATGTTGATAACATAAAAAATGAGAGGCCACCAATTTTTTAGTTTATCGTGGGTATGCCATGACGTGAACAAAAATTTGGCTTCCTTCCCAAGCAAAGATTTTTGTTTGACCATTGCGCTTGAAAGATGGTTTACCATCAAAGTGAATCGGGACCGTTAACAATGACTTGTTTTCTTTGGATACCTCAAATCTAACGATCTATATTAATTTAAATATTTTTACTTTGCTCCATAGAGTCCGAAACCGGTTTCACAAAGCACAGAGGAATTGCCTCCTTTTGTATTGTACATCCTTTCAATTGGTCTTAATTTTCTTTTCTATTTTGAGTAACAGGGTCTTGTTTCGTAGCCATTATTGTCTGATTCGATTTGATGTACGCCCAGTGCTAAGTCACGTGGAGCTCATATGGGATTCATCTCATCCAATGGTCCATGTAAATTAAACAATGCATATGAGTTGGGCTCACATCTAACGACTCACATGTACTAGGATCTTGCCCGAATTTTTCTTTTTGGAATGGTAGCTGCTATTTTGATTGTTGTTCATAAAAAAGAAGAAAGAGGAGAAAGGTTAGAAAGAAAGAGCTCATTTAAGGTAATATGTGTAAAAGAGTCGATTACACAAGTCCCGTGGATCTTTAGTCATGTCTTCAGCAAATAGCTTAAGTGGGATTTTCATTTTCTTTTCCTTGAACTTACGACATGTTTTCCAACTCCGATGGATTCAAGCTGTTCGAACCATATAAAAGTATGTTGTCTAAAAAAAAATTGCCAGTTGCCACCATCGACAAGCCACCATGGAAAATTGACATGGCGAAAAGTTATGCCAGGCAAATTTTTTTTCAATGGTAGATCGAATTGATCGAAATTGGGGATTGATAGACCTACTTAGAAAACTTATGCAAGTTAAAATGGTTTGATCAGGAAAACTCGTGGAGTACAGGCACTAGCTAGTCGAAACACTTCTATGTCCACATGATGCATAAAACAGATGAAGTTTGCACTTAAAACTGAATCTTTTCTTTTGCATTTGCGTCTTTACGAGTGAACCTGATTGTTCTTCAATTTCGAGAACAAGTTTCATCTTTTTGAAACAACTGAGCATATACTTAGTTAATTTCTTATATCCAATTCACGGCAGACAATGTTAAGTGCCGGTACGGACACATCCGCGGCGACAATAGAATGGGCCATGTCCCTCCTACTCAACCATCCGGACATCATGAAAAAAGCTCGAGCAGAACTAGACGACGTCGTTGGCCGAGACCGTCTAGCTGGCGAAGTAGACATCCACAAGCTGCCTTGCCTTCAAAACATCATCAACGAGGCGCTCCGATTGTTTCCGCCGGGGCCACTCCTAGTGCCTCACGAGTCTACTGAGGATTGCACAGTTGGCGGGTTCGACGTGCCTCGAGGCACCATGATCTTGGTAAATGCATGGGCAATTCAGAGAGACCCGAAAGTGTGGGACGATCCCACAAGTTTTAAACCAGAGAGGTGCGAGGGATTGGAAGGTGATCATTCGTACCGGTTGTTGCCGTTTGGGATGGGGAGGAGGAGTTGTGCCGGTGCTGGCCTAGCCAACATAGTGGTAAGTTCAGCTCTTGCCGCGCTCATTCAGTGCTTCGAGTGGGAACGAGTCGGCGAGGAGCCGGTGGACTTGTCGGAGGGGACGGGACTCACGATGCCCAAGAGAGAGCCATTGGAGGCTATGTGCAAAGCGCGTGAATGCATGAATGCTAATGTTCTTGCACAGCTTTGAGAAGGAAGGTTGTCCTCTAGAGAATTTATCTTACTAATGTATCTCCAACATTTTGAATGATCAAATAAACGGAAATTAGGAGTGACCGCTTCATTGAGGAATGATCGTGAGCATCAGTGGCATACTTACGAGGCCTATGCAGCTTTAGGCCTCTCTCTTAAGGAGAAAAACCCTGGTTTACTTTGACACTAACAACATTGTTCACTCCTCTCTTCACCTATTTCGAGCATCTGTTGGTGCACCGATGACTTTGATATGGTTGGCGTGGCATACTGAGTTCCCATGGCTTGTTGAAATCAATTGATGGAATTCGCAGATAGACAGAGGATGCCCGAAACATTGCAAAATGAAGGGTATAAATATAACATGAAAATTGGACATGCCTCGCCAGTGGCTTGCGAGGTCCTTTGGCCGGTTGCCGAAAGAGGAGGAAAAAAAAAAGAAGAAAAATAAAAAAATAAATCGAAAAAATACTAAAATATTATTAAAAGTTGTTCACATTAGCGCCAGCCGTGCCACATAGGCTAGCTAGTATCCATGTCAGCAATATCCGGCCAAAATTAGCCAGAAGGACCGAATTAACACTAGTTCAAAAAGTTTAGAACTAAATTGACCCAAAAAAAAAGTTTCAAGACTAAATTAGCACAATTGCAATAAATTTTTTATTTTTCTGACACTTTTCCCAACTCTTAGACGATAATAGTTATCCAGCTATTGCAATCGAGTCAATAAGAGGGGGGAACAATTATAGAATCAAGTATGGAGCCGAAATTTGATTCTAATGAGTAGGAATGATTATTAAAGGGATATGTTCACTAGAAGTCCTAAAACTTATCACAAAAGTGCAATTGAGTCCTAAAACTTGCAAAAGATGCAATTGAGTCCTAAAACTTGTCAAATTGATTTAATCGAGTCTTAAAGTTAACACCGTCTAATTTATTAACGAAAAATGCTAACGTGGCGATGACATGTCTTATTTTATTAATTTTCTTGAGACACGTGGCGTCCAACAAGCGCCAAGTCAGAAAAAGTTGAAAAAAAAATTAAATTAAATTAAATTAGAAAAAGCTATAAAAAAATGAAAAAAAACCCGAAACCAACAGTTGCAGCGGTGTCCAAGCCCTCGCCGGTGGCCGCCACCACAACTGCCGGGAAGGACCGACGGAGGTCCCCTGGGCCTTCCCGAAGCCCGGTGATCCTCGCCGGCCCCGGGCGAGGGCCTACAACCCTGGATCTGGGGGAGGGCGCGACCCTCGCCCCAGATTTGAGCGACCGTCGCAGGCCCTCGCCTGGGGTGGGCGACTCTGGGCGAGGTGTCGCCGGTCCTCGCCAGCCCTAGGTGAGGGTCGGCAACCCTCGCTCAGATCTGTGGCAAGAGTCGCACCCTCCCCTAGATCGGGGGCTTCATGCCGTCACCGGGGACCGGTGGGGCCTCGCCCGGGGTCGGCGAGAGTCGCCGGGTTTCGAGAAGGCCCATGTGACCTCCGCCGGCCCTTCTCGGTGGCTGTGGCAGCGTCCGCCGTCGAGGGCTTGGCCATTGCCGCAGCCGCTGGTTGGGGTCTCTCTTTTTTTTTTTAAAGCTTTTTCTAATTTAATTTTTATTTTTGTTGACGTGGCGTTTGTTAGACGTCGCATCATTGTCACGTGTCTTAGGAAAGGTAATAAAATATGACATGTTAGCGCCATGTCAGCATTTTCCGTTAGTAAATTAGATGGTGTTAACTTTAGGATTCGATTGAATCAATTTGACAAGTTTTAGAACTCGATTGGACCTTTTGCAAGTTTTCGGATTCAATTACATTTTTGTGATAAGTTTTAAGATTTCTAGTGCATATATCCTATTATAAAAAAAGGCTAGCCATACATGGACTATAAAAGGAGCGCATGTGAAGAGAAAAGGACACCCACAAACATCGAACAACATTTACTTTCGCCAATGCAATTTCCTTGACATCTATATCCGGTTGTTTATTTTATTTTGTCAATCAAACACTTGCTCTTATTCGTTCGAAAAGATTTGTGATGTCATTAAGGGATTAATTTCATCAATTTTAGAATCTAATCATCAAGTGTTTGTTCCTTTCTCGGTACACAATCGTCCATCAATTCGGAATTCAAGGGCTGCGATGTTTGATTAGGACATTGGTCAATCGAAACGAGATAATTACTACTGTTGAGTCAATGATCGGAGGACGGTGATTTTGGAGCGAAGAACTAGGAAGTATTTGCGATGTCCGATGTAAAAAAAAGGGACCTGGCTAGGATAACGGCCCGTCATGGGCAAATTGTAACGGTGCAGGCTGGACCGCATGTTTTATTTTGCAAGAGATGGATAACCGGATGGGCAACCAAGTGGAGAGAAAATATTAGCTACGTGTGGGATTTTACTTGAGCCCACTTATCAGTTGCCACGTGTACATGACTGGCCCCACGTCTGATTCCATCTTTCATTCTGCACTACTCCGTCCTTCTACTCTCTCTTGTCGCTTTAATTTTTTCTTGAGATAATTTTTAAAATTTTAATTTATTTAATATAATTCCTGAAATTTAACTTAATATTCAATATGATTCATAAATTTTTGATTTAGTTAATATGGTCTCTAAACTTTTAGTACATATTCAATTTAGTCCCTGAACTTCAGGAGCTAAATTGAACAAATTAAAAGTTCAGGGACCACATCAAGCATTAAAATAAAATTTAGGAATTATATTGAACAAATTAAAAATTCATGAATCAAATTATATATTAAATTAAAGTTTAAAAACCGTTTTGTTTGTGTCCTTTTCCCTTTCTACTTCCTCCTCAATTCCTCCAGCGACTTCGGCAACTGGGCCTCTGTCCTCCCCGCCATCTACCCCTCAAGTGCTCCCCTTTTGCGCCATCCTCTTCGTCCCCGCCATCACCAATGCTGCTGTCTCCACCACCCCACAACGTCATCCCTCAACACCTTGCCTTCTTGCTACTCAAGCTCTTGAGCACAGGCTCTCGCCTGTCGACCCTCCTGCCCACAACTCCACCCCTCGAATGCTCCCTGTCCTCGAGCCCGACGTCTTCTCCTTCCGACGCCCTCGCTGTGCACAGCATCGCCCGGATCCTCGATTGCTCAGTCTCGGCTTGAGGAAATTACTGACCAGCGCTCTTTTTCTCCATCAATTTTTGCTGCTCTTTTTCTGAGTTCTTGTCGAGCTATTAAAGCCAGGGGAAATACATATGATTTTTCTTTCTTTCTGTAACTTCTGAGATCATACAAGTCTATTAGAATACAATTTTTTTGGGTTCGGAGATCAAGAAGGAAAGAAGCTGTGTTTTTTCTTTCTGAGTTCGTTGGCATGATTGAAATAATAAAGGTGAGGGAAGTGCGTTTCTTCTTCTTGGTCAATAAGAAGAGTTTCGTTTGACGCTCTGAAGTTGCGACTTACTCGAGATCTCTGTTTCATGTTTTCTGTTTTTCATTCATTTATTTCTTTAATTTCCGTAGAGAGAAGAGAAAGAAAGTAGCGGGAATAGAGCAGAGTGTCAGGCGCGGGGCTCCCAGTGACTTTTCACCGATTGGGATCCTACTTAATATTCCAAGGGACCCGGTTTCCTTGACAAAATATGTGGTGGAGACTGTCAGCTTATCATTTTTCCTCAAAAAAATCCTACGATTCAAATACTAACTTATTGCAGTTATAAGTGATGAATGTAGAAATGGACTGAAGTGTGAAAAGCTAGAGCCGACGTACCCTATGAAACCTCTTCTCCCCCTCTCTCTGTCTTCTCTACAACGTTGCCTCCATCACATGTTAATGGAAGACGCGAGGGTGTACATCATCTCTGCAGCATCCTCCTCCCTTATCTTCCTTCTCTTCCTGCTCAAATTGCAGAGAAGCAACAAGAGAAATCTCCTGCCGAGCCCACCTTCGCTCCCCATCATCGGCCACCTCCTCCTCATAAAAGAGCCCGTCCACCGGACCCTCCAGTCCCTCTCTGACTGCTATGGCCCGGTCCTTTCTCCAACCGCGGCCGAGGAGTGCTTCACCAGGAGCGACGTTGTCCTCGCCAACCTCCCCCGCTTGCTTGCGGGCGAGATCATAGGCTATGGCAACATTGCCATCGGCACCACCCCCTACGGCTCCCACTGGCGCAACCTCCGCCGCCTCACTACCCTCGAGATCCTTTCGCCGCATTGCCTCGCCGGCTCCCTCGCCGTCCGGTGGGAGGAAGTCGGGCTCTTGTTCTTTCCGAAAGATTTGGGTTATCGTCAATGAATTCATTTTATTAGGTTTAGAACCCGATCATCAAGTTCTTGTCCCTTTTTTAGCACGCCATCATCCATCAATTGGAAGTACAAGGATTGCGATGTTTGATTAGGATGCTGATCAATCAAAATGTAATAATTCTTATTGTCGAGTTGACGATTTGAAGGAAGTGATTTTCAAGTGAACATTACCTTATTGATATTGTTAAAAAGTATTTACATTGGCTGATGTAAAAAAAAATTCGTGTCAAATAATAATTCACTGTAGTTAAAAGTCATGAATGTAAAGATAACAGATAATATAGGCAACATAAAGTTTTGTATTCCAATTTCTATGAATAATTTTGATATGTGTTACTCTATATGGAGAAATGTACAAATGGTGAAAAATTAGACCCAACATACGGCAACGTACCTTATAAAACCTCTAACTTGTTACATCTCTCTCTCTCTCTCTCTCGGCCTCCATCACAGGTTCATGGAAGATATGTGGGTGTACATCATTTCAGCATCCTCCTTCCTCTTCCTTCTCTGCTTGTTCAAATTGCAAAGAAGCAACAAGAGGAATCTCCTACCGAGCCCACCTGCACTCCCTATCATCGGCCACCTCCTCCTTATAAAAGAGCCAGTCCACCGGACCCTCCAGTCTCTCTCTGATCGCTACGGCCCAGTCCTTTTCCTCTCCTTTGACTCCCGCTCCATGGTCGTCGTATCCTCCCCGTCCACGGCCGGGGAGTGCTTTACCAAGAATGACATCGTCCTCGCCAACCGCCCCGCATGCTCTTCGCCCAGATTATGTTCTACAGCAACACCACCATCAGGTCCACCCCTTACGGCCCCCACTGGCGCAACCTCCGTTGGCTCACGGCCCTCGAAATCGTTTCCTTGCACCACCTCGCTGGCTCCCTCGCTGTCCGGCCGGAGGAAGTGAGGCTCCTTGTGAAGAGCCTCTATGAGATGGCTACGGAGGCGGCAGGGG